GGGCAAGGGAAACAAAAGCAAAATGAACAAGTGGGACGATATCAAACTCAGAAGCTACTGTACAGCAAAGGACACCATCAATAGAACAAAAAGGCATCCTACAAATGGGAGAATGTATTCATAAATGACATATCCGATAAGCAGTTGACATCCAAAACATATAAAGAGCTCATGTGCCTCAACAGACAAAAAGCAAATAATCGAATTAAAAATTGCGCAGAGTATCTGAACAGACACTTCTACAATGAAGAAATTCAGATAGCCAACAGGCACATGAAAAGATGTTCCACATTGCTAATCACCAGAGAAATGCAAATTAAAACCACCATGAGATATCACCTCACACCAGTTAGGATGGCCACCATCCAAAAGACAAACAACAACAAATGTTGGCAAGGATGTGGAAAAAGGGGAACCTTCCTACACTGTTGGTGGGAATGAAAATTAGTTCAACCATTGTGAAAAGCAGTATGGAGGTTCCTCAAAAAACTAAAAATAGAAATACCATTTGACCCAGGATTTCCACTCCTAGGAATTTACCCTAAGAATGCAGGATCCCTGATTCAAAAAGACACATGCACCCCTATGTTTATCACAGCACTATTTACAATAGACAACAAAGGGAAGCAACCTAAATGTCAATCAGTAGATGAAAGGATAAAGAAGGTGTGATACATATACACATATTCAGCCGTAAGAAAACAAGTCCTAACATTTGAAACAACATGGATGGAGCTAGAGGGTATTATGCTCAGTGAAATAAGCCAGGCGGAGAAAGACAAGTACCAAATTATTTCACTCATCTATGGAGCATAAGAACAAAGCAAAAACTGAAGGAACAAAACTACCACAGACTCACAGAACCCAAGAACGGACTAACAGTTACCAACGGGAAAGGGACTGGGGAGGATGGGTGGGAAGGGAGGGATAAGGAGAAAAAGGGGCATTAGGATTAGCACATCTAATGTACAGGGGGAGGCAGGGCACAGGGAAGGCAGTGTAGCACAGAAAAGACAAGTAGTGATTCTACAGCATCTTACTACGCTGATGGACAGCGACTGCAATGGGGTATGTGGTGGGGATTTGATAATGGGAGGAACCTAGTAACTACAGTGTTTCTCATGTAATTTTATATTAAGGATACCAAAGTAAAAAAAAAAAGATGTTTCAAAATCATAAAAATGGCTGCTCTCCCCCAAATCAACTTTAGTATTAGCTGTATCTCCAATAAAAACAGGAAGGAAGATTTTTCTTTTCCTGCTGTTAGGCTAATAATAAAGTTCATTTGGAAAAGTAACATGGGGACTAGCCTCACAAGATATTAACACATATTACAAAGTCACGATAATTAAAACAGTGACTACAACATGAACAAGCAGAGCAGGGGAACAGAAGAGACCCACGGTACAACTCAGTATTATAAAATGATCAATCACCTCCCAAAGCAATATATATTAATACAATTACAATCAGAATCCTAATGAAATCTGCAATGGAGAAAATTGACAAATTGATGATAAACTTCAACATTAAGGCATCTATGGATTGACACCATGCCCCCAAGACAATAAATTTTAGACAACAATGATGGAAAACTGGTCCTACCATAAAACACATAATAAGAGGTAAAATAAACCTGGATCTATCACACAATGAAACACTGCATAGACTCTAACTTCATGGATCTCTATATAATATTTATGTAACCAACATCCTGGAAGAACATCTTAGATTATGGATAAGGAGGGATGATCTAAGGGACTACTACTTTTTGTTTCCTGTGTAATTACACTTTCTACTGCAATTCCTATTATTTGCAATGATCTTTTAAAATTAAAAAACAGGAAGAGAATACAGTGGCGGTGGGGCCCCTTTACCATGCTATGTTACTCAGGTACTTCATCATAAGCACTTCTAACTGCCAAGTTGATTTGGGCACTTTGACTGTAATGAAAAGACAGGATTCTAACAGGTGTGGAGTACTGATCAGCAAGCACCCTTCAACCTGTAATTCTCTGAATCCTAAAGTTCACTAGGGTACTTCAAGAGATTCGATGAAGCCTTCTCTCCCACCTCACCCATAACAATCTGATGTTTATTTTATGTAAGGTCAGGTTGCATACTATTTCATTTAAAAAAAGGATTCTATTGCCTGAATAAAGTTTGCAGACCATTTACGCAGACTACCAGGAGAAACATTATGTCAAAGATAATTAATATTTGTTAATGAACTATAGGATCTACCATATTAATGAATATTTAGTCACATTTTTCTAAATAGAAAGAATGTCTTCTTAGATAACTGGTCTAACTCCCCAAATGCCACAAGCTGTTAAAAATCATTCCTCTCACCTAGAACAACCTTAAGTCCATATTCAGAACTGTGGAATAAATTATTGTATTTATATGTTATCTTGTTCCCAAGAGTAATTTTTTAAAATTCTAAGCTAAATAGATATGCTTCTCAAATCACATCACTGTAACTAGCCATTAGATCATGTTTCAGACAAATGGGAACTCATGAGATTCCATGATCTGGTTTTTCTGCCCAGTATTACTTGAAACATCCTAATTTCATTACTTGGTTCAGCACTTGTCTTTGCATGAGCAATACACAAAAATTTCTAGGCTTTGAGAACTATGTTCAGTGCTCAAGGGAGAACCACACAATCAGTGGCTCAAGTAGGCCACAAAATTTTAAAAGTCAAAAAATAAAAATAGCATAAAAGATTACATGAATGACAAGTCTGCCCAATTCGAAGGGAGAGATCAAGAGTTCAGAGGAGTGAAAAGGCTGCTTGGGGGACGTGGAGATCAGCTTGGGTGCCTGTGCACACACGAACCATAGGGATGTGCCTAGCTTTTGGCCTGTGTACAGATGGCCTTGCTGAACTGTCTCACTAGAAACATGTATTCATTAAAAACTCACACAACTTTACAAATTGTATACCTTAATTAAAACAAGAAGACCACCTGTAAATGGCTACCTGTTACACAATTTGGCACTGTGTATATATAAAATTGCACACATGTGCCCTATGAACTTAGCAATAACACTTCTGGGAAGATACTTCCCAGATATCCAGTGTACAAAATTGTACATTATACTCATTGCAGCACCATTTGTAAAATTTTAAAATCAAGTTTGTTTGGCTTTTTTTTTTAAACAAAATAACTAATACTTAGTGAATACTTAAGTACAGAGATAAAAGTCTAACATCAAATGTGAAGACTACAAACATCCAAAATTATTTCTGGATGGCAATTTGATTTGTACAGATAAGATTTCAATAAATGCATTCTCTCAGCCTATAATAAATTGATTCACCATGCACAATCTTTTTTTTTTTTTAATTCTAAACACAGTTGAGTACAGACATGTCATTCTTCTCTCCAAGCTTAATCATTATTGACAGACCTTTTATGGTACTTCGGTTCATGAAAATGCAGAGGTCTACAGCCTGGCATGATTCACAGCAAACCAACCTACCCACCACAGACAACAATATGTGCTATGGTTCACAAACTCTATCCTGAGTATTCTCTGAATTAATTTTTTTGCATGCATTTTCTCAAAAGTAAAGCAAGGTAAAGAGAAAATAACCTATCGAAGAACAATATGCTTTAATAATCAGAGGGCAGAAACAAAAGTGGAGGCCTTTCTATAAATAATGCAATCATAAAGGTCTTAAAGGAAAGACTAATAAAGTCTAAACTGCAGTATGAAATAAAATGAAGTATTAATCTAAATTTTTATAAATCAAATAATAAAGTATGTGGGGGGTAAATAATAGTTGTAGACAATGGACACTTTTGTATTTATTTATCTTCAATATCAAAGAACTCTTGCTAATACATAAAAAGAAGAATAACCAGGTAGAAAATGCACAAGAAATCTAAAGGTTTAACTATGGCAAGCATGATCACAAAACTAAAAAAAGAAAAGAAAAAAAAAACCTAACACAAAAAGGTATCAAGATGTAAAGAGGAAAAAAGAGGGGGGGAAAAATTCCTAACAATCAGTATTGGTGAAAGCATCTGGTTCTTGCATACATCAATTAGAACAGCCTTTCTGAGGTGTAAGGGAGCATTTTCAATATCTAAAATGTACATACCATTTCACTTCTAGAAAGTTATGATCACAAAATATTTACACAGCATAAATATAAGCACAGATTCTCTAGCAACAGCAGCATTTGTAATATCAAAAAATGTTAACACCTAAAACTCTGTCAATAAGGGGCTGGAAGAGGAAGTTATGGTACATCCATGTGAATGTAAGAACTGGACAGTCACTGAAGGAATGCACTCTCCTTGAGGAAAAATATATATAGTTAACTGAAAAAATCAGTTGTAGAGTAACATGTGCAACTTGCCAATGTTCATGGACCATTCCTGGATGGAATATAAACGAGTGTGAACAAAACACACATCCTAAACAATCACAGCAATTAAATGTGGATTTGGAATGCAGGAAAAGGGGTGGTATTCATTTCCTAAGTTAATACATTTTTTGTGTTTTATTTTTTAATGGTAAGACTGTTTTAACTTCTGAAACCAGAAAACAAAGGTTTTAAGTATACAGTTGTAACAGGAGACAGAAAGATTATTTCTCACGAGGAAAATGTTTTTAAAATGCAAAGCTTTCAATTTCTCTCCATACATAGCTAACCAGATCAGCCAAAATTCCCCCCCATTAAATGTTACTGTCCACTCAACTACATGGCTGCCCTTAGATACATGAGTTAACGGCACTCAGGTTCTCAAGGTGTAAACATGTCACACTGAAACACAGCCAGAAAACTCATAAATATGTGAAATCAAAAATGAATGATTGAACAAATTATTTTCTGTTGCTATTTGCTATGATACTAAAATTGGAAGAACTCAAAACTTCTCAACTTCAGTCTAAAAGTTGTTTCTCTCATGTGAAGAAAAGAATATTTGAGTTTCATTATCAATTTGTTTTCACAGGTCTTGAAACTCAAAGGAAAACATACCTTCTAAGAGCATTTCTGGAATGTCTGCTTGATATCTAGGTCCCACTCTGATTTCACCTTTGTCAGCTAATAGTGTTTTCACTGCAGGGTCATATACCAATGAGTAGAAAAAGCTATCCTGGAAAAAAAGAAAAGAGACAGAAAATATCTAGGTAAACTTAATTCCTTCTACATTTTATAAAGTAATAAATAAATCCAATGCACATAATGAAACCATAAAACTTCAGAGTGCATAAAAATTCATTTTGGTGAATAAATTCAGAAATCTTTAAGGAGAGCATGATGTTACTGTTCTCAGTGTAAAATTAAATCAAGCAAAAACAAACAGGATTCAATAAAGGTAGATTGTAAAGTTTTATAATTTGTTTTAGTTTGAAAGAAAATGACTTAACTGCTCTGAAACAGAGTTTTGAAAAGCTGCCAAAGTTAAGCTGCAAGTCAAAGGTAAGACACCTGAAATCAAGTAATCATTTACACCTCTAAAGCCCACATTAAAGAGTAAAGATGCCTTCACAGATACCAGATTTTATCAAACATTTTATCACATTTTATCAAAATATTAAAATGCAGATACATCTAACATTAAACTATAAGAGTAGGGCTCACAGAGCAGTTTACTTATGAAAATATCACAGTGTATACATTTAATTAACCATCTATTAATTGTAATTCTGCAGATCTCCTTTAAATTCTGAAGTATTCATAAGTATATATAGGTAAGATATGCAAACATAACTATTTGTACCAGCACAACCACCTAACTATCCATGGTCCCTTAAAATGCAAAAAGCCCAGTTATTGAGTCTAATGGGTAAAATGACCTTGTCACAAGTTATTTTGCTAAATTCTGCATAAACATTAGAGATCATCTGAACCAGTAGTCTCATCCCTGCTTCGTGCTCTGATTCTGAGGGCCACCTTCTAAACAACTTTCTACTGTATCATATCCTGTAAAAGCCTGTCCCCACCATCAGCACTTTACCAAGACCCAGCTAAGCAAGCTGCAAATAAAAGATAACCTGTCAGACTGTGAAGCTTTCTCCTTTCAGGGTCTTACAGATGGTGATAAAGGGAAAGAAGAGAAACAGAGTAGGCAATATCATCCTTTGAGAAACTGACACGATGGTTTAATCAGTCTGTCTGTCAGAGAAAAGATTAAAACTGTAAAAAAGTCACACCAATATGTGACCATTTATGTATGGAAAAAAATGGCATCTAAGGAAAACAGAAAATCCAGAGCACATAAATTAACCTCTGCTCAGTATGAAATCAGAGTAGTTACTTGTTTTTTAAGACAGGGGCAACAAAAAATACTACTAGTTATCTAAACCTATTGCCATTGGTTCACCATCACCTTTCAAAGTAGACATACTTTAGGTCACTTTTATTCTGTAAAATATGTTAGCATAGTATTCCATGAAAACAGGATTTTACTATACTTTACAGTAAAACAAAATTATTATTTTGGGCAACATGTTGCTTGGACTCTAATTTTTAAGTACTGACATGAGAAAATATTCAAAATGTGTTTAAAAGGAAGTTGCAAAAAAGAGAAAAAAATTCTAAAAGTTTAGATAATTAGCCAATTTCAAGACTACAAAGAGTTAGTTACAAAGGACAAAATGATGATTAGAAACTTGGTCTTTGAGTAACCATCTTCAAAAATACCTATCTAAAGTATTTATCATGACTACAAAACAGACCTTTCTCAAGGTCTTTAGGACAATCCTACAACAAAGTAGCATATCTACATCATAAAAAGTGTTTTCAAATTAAAGAAAGAACACAGTAAGCAGTTTTACTTTTTCTAAACTGTTCCTTCTGCAAAAAAAAAAAAACACCAGAAGTTCTTAATATTGCCAGAGTCAGTTGATAAAGTGGCTAAAACCTTACGCAAATAGGGGGAAAATCCATTATAAAGACTATAACAGATTTTTCATTCATTTCGTATACAATTGCTAACAACACTTAGAAGGCACAAAATATCATTTTTAAAAAATGCTACTCTCTTAATAGCCAAATATGCCAATAAAATATACTGAAACTTACTGAATGTTGCCTGGTTTTATTTCCAGTTTTATGAACTAATGCTAGTTTCTGAGCATCATCATTATCCATATTATTATCTATAATGCTCTTGGACAGACTGATGACAAACCCTATTACCTTCTTTTCTAAGTTTCACAAGTTTAAGTCAAAGACTATTAACCTCTTTCTGCCTTGATTATTTATTTCCTCTTAGTTTTCTTTATTAGATTTTCTAATGCACAGTAGTTCTACATCTTATATGAAGCTTTTTCAGTCATGTTTTCTTCACTTGAGACAAGGGGACAACACTTTGAATTATGTTTTAATTTCTAAAATATATACATATATGTATTTCATGGTGAAACAAAAACACCATGAAACTATATATGTTAATACTGAAACATCACCAACGGTAAAATATTTTTCCCATAATAAAAATACTGTCACACACAATTGGGTACTGTCACAAGAAAACACCCATAGATCAATGGAACAGAATACAGAGTGCAGATATAAACCCAAGTATATATGGCCAATTAATATCTGATAAAGGAGCCATGGATATACAATGGGGAAGTGACACCCTCTTCAACAGCTGGTGTTGGCAAAACTGGACAGCTACATGTAAGAGAATGAAACTGGATTATTGTCTAACTCCATACACAAAAGTAAACTCAAAATGGATCAAAGACCTGAATGTAAGTCATGAAACCATAAAACTCTTAGAAGAAAACATAAGCAAAAATCTCTTGAATATAAGCATGAGCAACTTTTTCCTAAACACATCTCCTCAGGCAAGGGGAAACAAAAGCAAAAATGAACAAATGGGACTCCATCAAACTAGAAAGTTTCTGTACAGCAAAGGACACCATTGGTAAAACAAAAAGGCATCCTACAGTATGGGAGAAAATATTCATAAACAACATATCCAATAAGGGGTTAACACCCAAAATATATAAAGAACTCACATACTTCAACAAACAAAAAGCAAATAAGCCAATTAAAAACTGGGCAGTGGATATGAACAGACACTTCTCCAAAGAAGAAATTCAGATGGCCAACAGACACATGAAAAGATGCTCCACATCGCTAGTCATCAGAGAAATGCAAATTAAAACCACAATGAGATATCACCTCACAACAGTGAGGAAGGCCACCATCCAAAAGACAAACAACAAATGTTGGCAAGGTTGTGGAGAAATGGGAACCGTCCTACACTGTTGGTGGGAATGTAAATTAGTTCAACCACTGCGGAAAGCAGTATGGAGGTTCCTCAAAATGCTTAAAATAGAAATACCATTTGACCCAGGAATTTACCCTAAGAATGCAGCAGCCCAGTTTGAAAAAGACAGATGCACTCCTATGTTTATCGCAGCACTATTTACAATAGCCAAGAAATGAAAGCAACCTAAGTGTCCATCAGTAGATGAATGGATAAAGAAGATGTGGTACATATACACAATGGAATATTATTCAGCCATAAGAAAACAAATCCTACCATTTGCAACAACATGGATGGAGCTAGAGAGTATTATGGTCAGTGAAATAAGCCAGGCAGAGAAAAACAAATACCAAATGATTTCATTCATATGTGGAGTATAAGAACAAAGAAAAACTGAAGGAACAAAACAGCAGCAGACTCACAGAACCCAAGAATGAATTAACAGTTACCAAAGGGAAAGGGACTGGGGAGGATAGGTGGGAAGGGAGGGATAAGGGCGGAGAAAAAGAAAGGGGGCATTACAATCAGCATATATGATGTTGGAGGGAGGGTATGGCACGGGCTCTACAACACAGAGAAGACAAGTAGTTATATTACAGCATCTTACTACGCTTATGGACAGTGACTGTAAAGGGGTATATGGGGGGAACTTGGTGAAGGAGGGATCCTAGTAAACATAATGTTCTTCATGTAATTGTATATTAATGATACCAAAAAAAAACCAAAATGGGCAGAGGAAGGGAACAGACCCTTCTCCAAAGAAGAAATTCAGATGGCCAACAGACACATGAAAAGATGATCGCTAATCATCAAGGAAATACAAATTAAAACTACAATGAGCTATTACCTCATACTAGTTAAGGAAGGTCAACATTCAAAAGACAATGAACAACAAATGCTGGTGAGGATGAAGAGAAAAGGGACCCCTCCTACACTGCTGGTGGGAATGTAAGTTAGTTCAACCATTATGGAAAGCAATATGGAGGTTCCTCAAAATACTAAAAATAGAAATACCGATTGACCCGGGAATTTCACTCCTAGGAATTTACCCAAAGTACACAAGTTCTCAGATTCAAAAAGACATATGCACCCCTACGTTTATCACAGTACTATTTACAGTAGCCAAGAAATGGAAGCAACCTAAGTGTCCATCACTAGATGAATGGATAAAGGAGATGTGGTACACAATGGAACATTATTCAGCCAAAAGAAGAAAACAAATCTTACCATTTGCAACAACATGGATGGAGCTAGAGGGTATTATGGTCAGTGAAACAAGCCAGACGGAGAAAGACAAGTACCAAATAATTTCTTTGTGAAGTATAACAATCAAGCAAAACTGAAGGAACAAAACAGCAGCAGACTCACAGACTCCAAGAAGAGACTAGTTGTTACCAAAGGGAAGAGGGTGGGGAGGGTGGGTGGAAAGGGAGGGAGAAGGGGATTAAAGGGCATGACCATTAACATACATAATATAGGGGGGGTCACAGGGAAGGCAATACAGCACAGAGAAGACAAGTAGTGACTCTACAGCATCTTACTATGCTGATGGACAGTGACTACAATGGGGTGTAGCAGGGGACTTGATAGGATGGGTGAATGTAGAAACCACAATGTTGCACATGTGAAACCTTCATAAAGATTGTTTATCAATGATAACCTTAATTTAAAAAATGCTGTCACACAAAACTGCGCATAACGTGGAATATTCTGTTTTTAAGAATTTCTTCCCTTCAGTGCTTTAATTCAACTTGTCAAAAGTGCTTCTTGCTAAGTATGCAGAAGGAAACATTTTAGTTGACAAAGTTTATTAGGATTCCAGGACAGAAAGCAGACCACCAGTGGTTAAAATGTCATCTGGAAAGAGTCTAAAAGAAAAGCTATTTAAAAAACAACAAAAACAAAAGAACAGGGAGGAGGATCAAATACACTAATGTCACTTATTTCTAAAGTGACATTTCTTTTACTATCAACTAAATAATGTGCTATACTTTATAAAGTCTTTCATTACCAACTGAAGAGAGACAAACACAGGAGTTTTTACCAATTCTCATCTCATGAAACCAGAAAAGTGAGATTACCCAATGTATTCTAGTCACTATGCTTTCCCTATAACAGTACTATTAAGGTGAAATAATTTTGTACAAGAAGAAATAAATCCAAAGGTGCAGGCTTTTTTTGTTCATGTGAGATAAAGGGGAAAAAAACACAAAACAAGTATAATTATGAATTACCTCTTTATCAAGATATGACAATACTGACTCTGTCTCATTCAGAAGGGCAACAGTGCATTTTCCCCTGTTAAAAGAAAAAAGTGAATAAAGTTTAGAAAGCCCACCTCACCTTCATGTATATGTAGACATATATAGATTAAGATCATTCAAAATGTGAAGTTGCTATGAAGAAACTAGATGGCAGGTAAGAATATATATATATATATATATATATATATAAAGATATTCACTTAAACTCACTTTACAATCCTGGTGTTGCATAATCTAAAAAGTAAGACTGTCTTTGTAGACATTTACTGAGAGGCTAACCTGTGGAAGAACTTTGTCTTAGGTAGTAAATCCTTGTAACATAAATCACTTTTTAGGTATTCCATAATTATTCAAGAAAAAAAGAGGGTTACAGTGAAACCTTCAGATTAAAACTAAGTTTCTGAATCTACAGAGAGTTAGTATCAGCTGAGTTTATACAAGGGACCTTCAAACAAAGACATCACCATGCAAACTGACACCTGAAATAATCTTAAGACTTTTAAATAGACCCTGCATATGAAAATCTAAAAACAATACACATTTACATCACATTAGCTTACTTACCTTTACTGAAATTTCTCTAAAGAGTAATTAAAATGTAAACACAAAGAGCTTCTATGGAGCAAGGGACAAAATAAAGATCTACAAATTCATGGATTTTGAAGTCTGGTGGCATTTACCTTTGATCATAGCCCTGGGTATGAGTTTGGAAATGAAATTCTGTTTTAAAAAAAGGTTTGTCTAAGATTGTAATCACACTAGTATGGGTGAGGATTTAATAGTATGGGTAACTGGATAGCATATTTGAAACCAATGTAAGATTAAACATCAACAATACTTAAAAAAAAAAAAAAAGACCCCAAATGTCTATCAACTGATGAACAGATAAACAAACTGTGGTATATCCATATAATGGAATATTCAGCAACAGTAAGAAGTATTCATACATGTTACAACTATAAAAAATGGCTTATCCAGATGTGCAAAAAAATAAGGTTATCCAGATACAGGCATTTATTACAAGTACTTTTAGAATTATCCTCACCAGCTTGCAAAATTCAACATAGATACAAATGTTATAGGGTATTTTTGACTGACCATTCAAGTTACAAGTTACAGATATTGGTCAAGGATCATAAAATATTTTTTAAATGTCATAATGCCATTTGATTTTTCTAGACAAAAGTCACTACTTGCTCCCCACAAAATAACAAGTGAAAGCAAAGACATCACATACACATTAAATATGAAGCTTCAGAAGAGATTGCTGTTGAATTATCAGAGTGAAAAATGACTGAAAGGAAAAAATTAGCAAAAGCAAAATAAAATACCAAAAAAAGTATGCTAACACACTGACCAAAAATTACTTTTCTAAACATTTTACAACTGTGTATTTCTTAAATTAAAAGAAAAAAACCTCCTCTCATAACATCATCTTTTTCTGGTAATCATCTTGGTTTAATACCACTTCAGAAGATTTCCCTAAGAGCATGTGATAATCCTGTATTATTCTGTCAAGTCTCTTAATTCTACCAAGAGTTATAAAAGGTTTTCTGTTTTTCTAATGTATTTTATTCATGCATATTACTGAAGCAGAAAAATTAACATCATAACTTCAGAGCACCTAACAACACTCAAAGTCAACAATTATCTGACATGCTCTTATAAAAGACAGATGTATGAGCAGGGAAATTGCTCTCTTGCTGTTCACACAACCACAGTTAGTTACCACAGGAGAACTTAGGACCTGTGACTGCTCACACATGCTGTGTGCTTAAGTATATAAATGGGGTTTCCAAAAATAGGCTTCATTTTTTTTGCCTCAATAAGAGCTGACAAAGCAGTATTTCTACAATTAATACTTAATCCCCTAGAAGAAAAGAAAAAAAAATATTTTTAAAGTTCTCTAACAACAGGTTTTTAAACGGGGAAGTGCAAGTTTTAATAGGTACCACTTTCTTTAATAGTCACTTGTATCTTAAGGGTTAACAGAACCTGAAAATTTATACGAACAATATACTACACTTAAAAGTCTAGTCCATGCTATACTGACTGAAATGACAAGAGAATTTAAACCTACTCCTTAAATCATTATTTTAATAATTATATTGAGAAATGAAGAAACACTGATCATACTGTTTTACAGGCACAACATGATTATAATCAACAGGATACTCCAGCCAATATGGAAAAATAAATATGAATGTGTAATTTAGACTTGTACTACAATGCCAAGAGTTGTTGATTTAGAAAGAGATTTAAAGGTACACAAATCTTGGCTCATAGATAAAATCATATTAAAATTTAAGCCAACCTCAAACCAAAGAAACTATTACCAAATTATGAATATAAATAACACAACTGATTTATACTGAAACTAAAGCAATAATCCAAAGTACCTTCCACAATGTTTAACTGTTGAGGAATAAATAAATCCAAATATGATGATACAAAACATATCAAAGACCCTAATTCAAGACCACTCTAGGCCACATACTTATGCTTTTCTACAGAGAACCACATACTTTGGAAATTCAAACTTCAGAAAACATAATTAGGACATTTTCATCTCTTTTATTTGGTATAATTTACTTTGTACATATCCTCACAATCACACACTTATGAAATGACCCATGTACAAGTTTGGTCTTTGCAGTATTATTTCCAACAGCAAAAGACAAAAATAAACCAAATATTCATCAATTAAGATTAAATTCCTAGAAGAAATATAAAACAGCCACAGAAAAGAGGGAGATCTTTATGATGTGATAAGGAGCTATGCCCAAGATACCTCACTTAAAGAACACAACATAACAGCGTAACTTGCTCTACAATTTACTTTTTACCAACACAAACACATAAACACCTTATTGCTTCTATATGCATAAAATGTTTTGGGAAGTATACGTAAGATTCTAGAACAGTGATGACCTGGGGAACTGACTGTATTGAAGTGAAATATTTTGTATCCCATTATTTTGATTTCTGAACTAGGTCAATATACTACATATATCCCTCCCCATTCCAAAGTTTAATTTTTAACAGGAGGAGGACTGATCAGAGTTCTGTGATTCGGACAACATAAAGGAATGCTCTACAATCCACTGCTTTGGGATATCAGGTTACTCCAAACATTCATCCAAACCAGGTATACCTTCTCCAACCATAACAGTTCATAAACCTACAATGGGAACCTAGTCCCATCAATCCCATCCACTTACTATAGCTTTGCAGTGTCTGCAAGTTTTGTTTTAAAACAAACCTCTACTTAAAGATAGGCACTTTCACTTCCTTTATTTGTTTCTTATATGTATGAGCACCAAATGAAAAATTCTACCTTTAAATATTAATTGTTCTATGCAAAACATGAAACAAAATTCTTTTCAAATTACACTTCTGAAAATGGAAGGAAATCTTTTTCCCAAAGTGAATAACTTATGACAGGCACAATGCATTTCCAAAAAGTTTGATAACTCGGTTTCACAAAATGACACACAAAGAGACAAATGCCAATATTGTATTTTTATTCAGTGACCTAACTGAAAAAAGTTAAATGCCATTCCTTTGGGGGTGGGAGGGGATAATATTTTTAGAGTCTAAATACAATAATGAACTAAATGATAGGGAAAACTCATGGATTCATCTCCTCTTTTCTAAGATCCCTTTAAAATGATAAAAGAATTAGAAACAAATGAACCTACCATCAGCACATGAAACATTTCAGAAAATCCTGGAAGACAAAGACAAATAAGAGACGGAGCACTGCAAACCCCAGTTCAGGAAGAGCATTTCTTTGAACAGGGAAACACTAAGATTGGGAACAATGCATAAATGCCCACTATATACATTACTATTAAAGCATGGCATTGGTGGTTTTACTAATACAATCACCCAAGAGAAAACTCAGACAGTCCCAAAATACACATAATAGCTGATACTAGGTAAAACAGAAATATTTCCTAGCAGAGCCCAAAAGAAGTTCCAGTCTTAAGAACAAGACCAAGAAAAGCCATTTCCACATCCTACTGGGAATGGTCCCAGCAAAGTCTGCCCACATTAACAGAGCTCCTGGTAGGACTTGCTATTCCCTCGGTTTAAAATAAGAACAGTCAAGCTTTGCTTCATCTAGTATTTGAGGAAAAACTACAGAAAAGAAGATAAATACAAAGAATCAAACTGATCCTAGAAGAAAAGGACATAGTTTACCAAAAGAACTTTGAAAGTACAAATTAGAGTTTTCTTGTTTTTTTTGTTTTTAGTTATCATTAATCTACAATTACATGAAGAACATTATGTTTACTAGGATCCCCCCTTCACCAAATACTCCCCACAAACCCCATTACAGTCACTGTCCAGCAGTGTAGCAAGATGCTGCAGAATCACTACTTGTCTTCTCTGTGTTGTACAGCCCTTCCCAAGCCCCCCAAATCATATTACACTTGCTAATTGTAATGTCCCCTTCCTTTTTCCCCGCCCTTAACCCACCCTTCCCACCCATCCTCCCCAGTCCCTTTCCCGTTGGTAAATGTTAGTCCATTCTTGGGTTCTGTGAGTCTGCTGCTGTTTTGTTCCTTCAGTTTTTCTTTGTACTTATACTCCACAGATAAGTGAAATCATTTGGTACTTGTCTTTCT